ATTGACTTAGTTTAAAAACACAGTGTCATCTGTGTTTTACTGTATTTTTATTTATTTTGTTCCATATTTTCTCATTCTATTTTAAATCTGATTTGGACTACCCACAGGAGTGTTGGGGGCTGGGCTTCGAGGGGTCAGGGTGGTGGGTTGACATCTCAGCTCTAGGTTTCTCTGCCCAACTTAACAATAGCCAGCATTTATATAGTACTTTAAGGTGTGCAAAACACTGTGTGTTTTAGTTTCTCTTATTTGGTCCTCACAACACCCTGTGAGGTATGTGTAATTATTATCCCCATTCTATAGAAGCAGAAACTGAGGCTGACAGGTCTTCCCAGCTCCAAGTCCAGTACCCTATTCACCGTGCCACCTAGTAGCCTACCAAAATATAGCCTGGTATCTAAGCTCAAGGCCAAGGGGCCAGAAATGGGAGCCCCAGCATAGTATACAACGCAAGCCAAGCCCCTAATAGAAGTCAGGGTCATTTCCCTTGAGTTGAATATCTTCCAGTAAATTTATTCTCCCATTGACTCCCTCCCAAAGGAAGATGCCCTTGATAGGACCACCTCCACCAAAAGTAACTACCAAAGTCCAGGAAACCACCACATAGCCCGGCTGGTCTATTTCTTTGATGGTGTCGTCTTGCCACCTAGTGGAGCGCTAGAGTACTGTCCCAGAACCCTCTCCAGGAAGTGTAGTGCTGAATCTGCTTCTGCTACTTTCTAGCTGTGTGACCACGGGCAAGTCACTATACCTCTCTGTGTCCCAATTTCTTCATTTGTAAAATGGAAATGATATGGGTAGTACCTGCCCCTCAGATAGAGACAATAGATGCATGGAATTTTGTGAACTTTGAAGCATTTATAAACGACAACTTTTATGATTATTTTAAAAGCTACCTCAGTCTGTATAAGGGAAATCCTAAATTCTTGTCTGGAATTACTCTTGTTCTCTTAAGAAATATTTTTAATAAAAGAAACTTTTATCGCTAAAGAGCTCTCACTTAGAATATTTCATCTCAGTTCTGATACTTAGCACACTATCTGTTCAACCCTGGGAAAAAGTCCCTTTACCTTTCTAGATCTCAATTTCTTCCTCTGAGGTCCTTTCTAGCTCTGCATTTATGATCCTGTGACATATGAGAAAAGCATGTTTGTGAGCCAGAATGGAGCCAGGATTATTGTCTAGATTTTACAGGTAGGGAAACTGAGGCCAAGAGGGAGAAAGGACTAGAACCTAGGTCTCCTGACTCCCTATCTGTGTCCCCTTTGGCTAAACTGACATGGACAGGTGAGTTTCCAGCAGGCACAGGAGAAAGCAGAAAGGGTGGGGCCTTAACAGTCTTGAAGGACAGTTGCTATTTGGAATTGAAACAGCCCCCTTTCTTTCTAAAGAAGTCCACAAAGAAGGCAGAGAGCCCTGGCTATATATACTAGAGGCCCTGGGTTCGAATCCTACTTCTGATACTTCCTACCTTTGTGACTTTGGGCCAGTCAATATCCCTCACTGGGCCTCCGTTCACTCAGCTGTGAAATGAGGGCCTCTAACAGTGATAGCTTCTATGGGCCCTTCCAGTTCCAGAGCCCTGATCCTTGCATCCCCTGCTGACTTCAAGCAGTTTCATCCTTCCCTTCTTTCTCTTAGCTCCAGAACTTTCAAAGAGAAAACAGAGTCAGAGCTTTGGGAGGAAAGCAGTACTTGACACTTTACTCTAGGAGGGTCTTGGGCTTGGAACCCTTCTTTCCATTTGCTCATTCCTTGCATAAAAGCTGATGGCTGTCAGCGCTTTCCAACTCCTGCCACCAAAGAACAGTATTTCAAACAGACCTAACCATTGCTAAATACTTCCCACTTCAAAGGCCTGTCACAGCTTTGTGGGAGACCTGCCCTTGTCCCAGGATCTCAAGCCCCTTTCAGTTTGGGCCTGTGAGCTTCCAGAATGTCTGGAGCACAAAAAATTCATCTCCTCACTTCCTCAGCCTGGTGATGAGCCCCTTGGCACTTTACTGGGTCTCTCCTCAGACCACAGATTGAGGTTACAAAGACAAGAATGAAAACCAGACCCAGACCTCAGGGAGCTTACATAGTGCTGGACATGGAGTCAGGAAGACTTGAGTTTAAATCCTTCCTCAGACTTACTAGTATGTAGCCCTCAGCAGAGCGCTCAGCCTCAGTGTCCTCATCTGTAAAATGGGCATAATAATAGCACCCACCTTACAGGGCTGTTGTAAAGATTAAGTAAAATAACATGTGCAAGGCACTTTGCAAACCTTAAAGTGCTATATAAATGCTGGTGGCTACTGTTGCTGCTGCTATAGCAGCAACAACCACAACTACTACTACTACTACTACTACTACGACTACTACTACTACTACTACTACATAAGTGCAAGATGATTGGAAGAATGAGAGAACATTAACATCTAGAGGTGGGGAGTGAAGGGGGGAGGAGTGACAGCCTTGAAGCAAAGCAGGGAGTCCAAGAGCCAAAGCGGAGGAGAGAGTGTTCCAAGAATGAGGTACTGCCAAAGCAAAGGCAAGGAGATGGTAGATGGAAGGTGCTGAATCCTGGGAAGGAGCTTGCAGGCTGGTTTGACTGGAATGTATGTGGGCATGTGTTTGTCTGTGTTGGTGGCTATGTATCTGTTTGTGCTCATATTTGTGCTCATACATCTGCGTGCATGGGTACAGACAGTTCTTGATTTCTGTAAATTTGCATTACATAAATATTCACTCCCCTGCTTTGGACAGCTGGACCCCCCACAGCCAGGGCTCCAGCCTTCAGCTGTAAATTGGTACTGTAGGGGCTGTAGGGGCTGTGGTGGCAGTATGCCACCATCACCAGCAGCAGCAGCAGCAGTAGCAGCGCTACCGGTACAGTCCAAAGCTGGAGGTCCTCACTAAGACTGCTCCAGGTGTGAGGGGGTCCCTGGCCCTGAAGTAGCTTGGGCTCTGGGAGGCAGGGTAGGGGTGCAGAGCCACAGAGGGGGCAGGGCTCTGTGAAATGGGTCCACTGCAGAGTCCAGTTATGGTAAGCAAGAACCGGCTGTACTCTCTTGTCCTCAAGGACGGTCTATGGTGGCAGGATGGGGGGGCGGGCAAAGTACAACACACATCCAGGAGTTTTTAAATTTCTTTTTGATCTGTACTTTAGGGGCATCCCCACACCAAGCAACTCACCTGGAACTTAGAAAATTGAAGTTGGACTGAGGCTCGGCTTAGGTGGCTCACAAATTTGCCTCTTGTCACCTGGTGCTAAGTGTTAGAGGCTGGATTTGAACCCAAGGGTTCCTGATCCCAAGTTCAACATCTTATTGCACTGCACTACTTCTCGCAGATAGTCCAGGGTAATCTAAGGAGTAAAGGAGTATCTACCCACTTGGGGCTTACTCTGAGCTTCTCACCAAGCTAAGCCAAAATCCTATCTTTGGCCAAGTGTCAGAAACCTAGAATCCTAGGTCTATGAGTTGGTGAAACCACTGGGGGAGTCTTATTCACAGAAGGGATGGGCATTGATCTAGAATAGGAAAGTGTAGGCATGGTTGATGTGGTCCCAAACCTGATTCTAGCTCAACTCCCAGTCCCAGACCCACAGGGAGCCAGCATTTAAGAAATCCCTTCTTGGGGCAGCTAGGTGGTGTAGTGGATAGAGCACCAGCCCTGAAGTCAGGAGGACCTGAGTTCAAATCCGCTCAGACCAAACACTTGACACACTTACTAGCTGTGTGACCCTGGGCAAGTCACTTAACCCCAATTGCCTAAAAAGGAAAAAAAAATTCCTTTTTGCCTCAAGCCTCAATTTCCTCTTAAGTTCCAGTCATTGGTCCTGGTTCTGTCATTTGGAGCCAGACCCAATGAGCCTATAGCCCCTCTTTCCCATGTTAACCCTTTACAAGGCTTCTCCACGGCAAACTGGTCTTTGAGAACTTCCATGAGAATGTGAGGAGAAGGGGAGGGGTGCAGATTTTGAGATAAGCTGCTCTCCCTATGCCATGCCCTGTGGCTCCTGGATGCATTGACTGGGGTTAGTGAGATTTTCCCTGGGTGAAAAAATGCCCAGTTACATCTGGGCAAAAGTCCCAATGTCTTCAATCCAGGTCAAACCATGGGTGCAGTATTGCGTTTAGTTGAGGGCACCCCATTTTCAGAAAGACATTGATAAGCTGGCCAACTTCCACAGGCAGGGACTTAGGATGGGGAAGGGACTGGATAATATGCCATCTGAGGACTCCATGTTTAGTCTGGAAGAGAGAAGACTCAGCGGGCAGATGAGATTTGAAGGTCTGCCTTGCAGTCTTTGAGGGATTTCTTCTTGTAGAAGAGGGATCATACTGGTTCTACTGGGCTCTGAGAGCAATGGGGGAAAGGGGCAGGGAGCAGGTTTCTGCTTGGTGTCAGGAAAAACTTCTAAACAGTTAGAGTTGGGTCAAAGTGGAATACTGTGCTCCCACAAGTGATGAGCTCCTCATGAACAGAGGTATTCAAAAGAAGCCATATGACCTTTTGTGGGGCATTTTGTAGAATGGACTTCTATATTGGCATGTGTTTTACCTCTGCCCGTGGTCCCTTCAATCATGAAATACTGTGATTCTAGACTTTGTGGGGGGGGGTGAGGAGACTGGGGGGCACTGGCCATTTTCCCCCTTCTTGAATCACCTCTCCCACTCATCCTTAGGTGCCAGATTAGATTGTGAGCCCCTTGAGGGCAGGGCACTGTCTTTTGCTCCTTTCTGTACCCCCAGTGCTTAGAACTGTGCCTGGCATACAGTGGATGCTTCATTTTGGTTTTTATTTAAATATTTATTTATACTTATATTAGATGGTTTATTGACCTACAGGTAGCGGTAGTCTGGGGCTACAACTCACCCGCGGCAACTGAAGTCACAAAGGCTAGGCGCGTTGATTATGCGCGTCGTATCCCCCTCGCCTTCTGATTGGCTGGCGCTGTGGCGAGGCAGCCAATAACTTAGCGCTTCCACGTATAACGTCTATTCTCCCTGGAGCTAAGGAAGCAAACTGTTGGGAGAGGCTTCGGGGGAGTTCCTGGGGAGGCTGGGGAGGCTGGAGAGGCTGGAGAGTGTAGCACCCACCTCCAAGGAGAAAGAGAAGGTAAGGAGAGGGCGGGGCCTGGGATGGGGCGGAGCTCTGGAAGGAATAGGTGAGGGGCGGGAAGGGCCGGAAAGGCGGGGGAGGGTGTGGGATCCAGGGGTGGGAAGGCTGCTGGTTATTCTTTAGGGTGACTGGGGGAGGAATGGAAGACTTAAGGCTGGGCAGTGAGGGAGGGGGGCACGAGAAGGGTAGATTTGCGGCAACTAAAAGGTTTTTAGAGTCTGATCAAATGTCCATTTTAAGGGATGGCAGTAAAAGCGGTAGGAGTAACGTGCTGTTGGGGGCATCCGGAGCTGGGACTGAATTCATGCCTCCTTTCCTTGGAAAGAGGTGGGGGTAGGGCTTAAAGGGCTTTGTTGGTGGCCTTCCTGAAACACAATCCTGGTTCTGAACTCGGAGACTCTGGGTTCAAATGTCACCTCTGCTACTTAAGGTGTGTGAGAGCACTGGTAAATCACTTAACCTCTGTGGGTCTCAGTTTCCTCAGCTGTAAAGTGAGAATGTTCCACTCTCTGTGGCCTTTGGAGTCCCAGGTCCAGATCTCTGATCCTGTGACCGCCTTGACTCTCCAGCCATTACCTCTGCTCCCATGGGTTAAAAATTCCTTTAACCGGCATTGGTGGCGTAGAAGAAAGAACCCTGGCTTGCAAGTTGAGACCACTAACTTGCCATATGTGACCTTAGACAAGTCAACTTAAGATCATACTCTTAAAATAGAGACTCATTTCCCTATTGATAGTGAGAGTTGGCAAGGTCATGGAATTGAGCCTCCTCACTTTAGGGTGTGGAAACTGAGGCCCAGGAAGGTTGTGCTTTACACTAAACCACACAGATTGGATTTTGAACAACAGATCCTTTCAATTCAAGCTCAGCCTTCTGATTACGTAGGGTCCTAACCTCTCATGATCTCAGTTTCCCCATGTGTAAAATGAAGGTCAGTCTAGATGTTCCCTAGGCTCTTTTCCAGCTCCAGCAGTCTGTGCTCTGTGACCTAAGTGTGACTTCAGCCGCATTCTGACATATAAGATCTTTCCACTGCCTCATCGTTGCTATGGCAACCTCCTATTGACGATGCATTTACAGTCGAAGGCTGGTTGGCTCCCCAGCAGGGACATGGAAAGTAATAATATAATAATAGCTGACATTTACAGAGAGACTTTTAAGGTTCATGAGGCTTTTTTTTTGCTTTTATTTTTTAAATTGATTGATACATTTTGTTATGAAACAGCAGACAGTTCCCAACAAGCAGTAAGGCAACCCCCTTCCATGATGTATATTCCCCCCAAACAATTCCTCATTGTTAATCCAAAGTGAGGGATATGTCCTTTAATTTTAATGGTACATTACTAACATTGACTGAGCAGTTTTGTTGCCTCTCGATGTTGGTTTGATTTATATTCTTTTAGTCATTTTGTTTATTATTCTTCTGGCTCTGCTTTCTTTTCTTTGGCAAAAGCATTTTAAATGTGTGTATGTGTATATAATATATATATATATATATATACACATATGTGATTTATATAGAGAGAAATAGATTTAATATATTTGAAATGAGATTTGTGTGTTTATTATATATTAATACAATGGATATTATTATACACACAAATCTCATTTAATCTACACAGCAACCTTGGTCTATAGCTTATTATGATCTCCATTCTGCAGTGACAGAAATGGAGGCTTAAGTCTCTGCCCATGACCAATGTCAGAGGTCGGTTGGGAGCTCTGCTTCCCCCAGGACTCTGTCATTGCAGTTAGACTCTCAGGTTTGTTATTTGAAATTTCCTGGTGATATTTATGCTTTATGTCTTTTTGGATCCCAAAGGAAACAGTAAGGAGCACAGAGCCCTCCCAAGCAGATGGGACATGGGCACATATTTGTTGATCTGCTTCCTCCAACAGGCTCCCAAGCCAGCAGCACAATCATCCTCTGACGACAGGGCTTTTGAGGCTCTTGCCTGGCTATACCGAGTAGGAGTTGTCCTGAGGAGTGTGAGAAGAAAAGCTGTCTCATGTAAGGTGACCCTTCCTAATCAGCTCTGGCCTAGAGGCCTTGGTGAGGGCACCTTTCTGTTCCTCAGTTCTTAAAAGTATGCTTGTTCAAGTCAAAGACGTCATTCATTTCCTTCTAAAGGAAGGACAGAAACCCTAAGGGGAACAGAAAAAGAGGGGACCAACATTTTGTTGGTTTTCTCCTTCTCTCCTATCCTTATCTTTTCCCACCTGCAGGCTGGCTTCCTGCCATTCATGAGGAAAGGCCTGGAGGGCTGGAGGGCTGGCTGGCTGGCTGCCTGCCTGCCTGCCTTTGGGGGGAACACTCCTCCCACTACACTCTGCTTTGGTATGAAGGCCCACACGAGGAGGAGAAAGGAAAAATTGGACGTTGACAGTGGTTGACAAGTAGTACTTTTCACCTCTGAGCAGGCTTCTGAGGGTGGGGCTGCATGGAGGGGGTACTCTGGAAGGGACAAACATCTGGGCTCTGGGTACAAATGGTCATTACAAAGCTGCTGTTTTTGCCCATGACAGTTAAGTGAAGAGGCAGTGTGGCAAGTAAGTATTTCCTAGATGAAGGCCTGGGGATGTGAAGGGCATTGCAAAGGATGCTTGGGTTGGTGGTGGGGAGGCAAAGGCTATTTTTAAAGCATCTTCCCGATTCTCCAAAGTACTGGAACATGGACAGGCCTATAATGTGCAAGCAGGTTTATCACTGACAAAGACTAGAAAAGTGACCCAAGACATCCCCATAGATCATGGACCCAAGCATGGAATGAATAATCAGATGAGCTAGGAGTTCTGCCACTGAGTAGAAGAAGAGGCACTTCTCTCCCCTTTCCTTCTCACCCTCACCCAGGGCTTGACCAGAACCAGGTAACCTTTGGGGGAGGGGAGAGTAAAGGCAACAGGAAAGCAGATATTATTCAGCGCCTGTTTGTAGCCTTCCAGAGAGCTCCACCCCAGCCTAGGCCCTGCCACCCATGAAGATACTCATATATCAGACATGGTCGCTCTATCCCACATATCAACATGGATGGGTTCCCGGGAGGGAATATAACCCAGTCATCAGATCTCACTGAGAGTAATGTCATGTCCCCCAAGTGGGCTGTCTCATGGGATGGTTTCTGCTTTTATTTCCAGAAGCTCCCAAAGAGACAACCTGCTCTAAGCTTTTGTTAATGCAAAGGTTCTTGACTTTTCTTTTTTGCATCATGGGCCATTTGGCAGTCTGATAAAGCCAACACTTCCCAGAATCATGATTTTAAATGCGTAGAATGAAATGTGTAGGATTACAAAGGAAATACAGTTAACAAAATATTTTTCAAAACAAAGTTCATGAGGGGCAGCTAGGTGGCACAGTGGATAGAGCACTGGCCCTGAAGTCAGGAGGACCTGAGTTCAAATCCGCTCAGACCAAACACTTGACACTTACTAGCTGTGTGACCCTGGGCAAGTCACTTAACCCCAATTGCCTAAAAACAAAACAAAACAAAATTTAAAAAGATTTAAAAAACCCAAAGCAAACCAAAGTTCATGAACTCTTGGTTAAGAACCCCTGTGTTAATGGGAGATGCCCCAGAGGTTTCTCCATTTTTCTTACTGATGATTAAAATTGTAAGTGCCTTTATATTTGAATGTCTGCTGCCCCTCTTTGAAGTCAGCCCCCTTGAGTTCAGGAATGGCCCTGGTAGGTGGCAGCATTGATCCCTTATTCGAAGTCAGATTCACTCCTCCAGTTCCTGCCAAGTGGAGAAGAGTCTCTTCAGAAAGTGCTGAGGCCTGTCTAGGGGTGGTTGGCAGCTGCTACCTTGGCCTCCATGCTCTCCTCTTGCTCTGGAGGTTTTTTAGTCTCCAACCTTTCAGAGTTTCTCTGGACCAGGAATAGTTTCACTTCTAAACAGTCTGTGCTCTCATGAGTTCCTGGAAGAATTGCTTTAAGAGACTGTCAAACTGAAATTTTGAAGAAGCCCAAGAAGTGTTTGAGGATAAAGAATTAATGGCATGGTGGGCCTTGCAAGCAGGGGGAGTCCTGGGGCTAAGAAGAGTGGGCCTAGATCCTAGAAAGTGGGAAAACTTGAAGGGGTAAAAGAAGTGAGGCATGAGTTGGTCTCCCTCTGTTTTAGTGCTGAGAGACAGATCAATGATATGATCCTGTAACTTCTACCCACCTGACTCCAGGCCCTTTACTTCCCTTGGGAGTTTTCTGCTTTTTTCCCCTCAGTCACCAAGCCCTCACGTCATGAGCCTGCAGCTTCTTAGATAGTCTTCCCCAGCACTTCCCACTATGGGGTCCCACAGGACTCAAGGCAGGCCTCCCATTCTAGAGAATCCCTGGCTGCCCGAAGCTGACAGAGTGGGCAGGGAGAGAAGAGCAGTTTTTGTGAGTTCCATTGTCTCTTTCTCTCCTTTTCCTCCCAGCTATCTCACTAGAAGCATGAATATCTCTGGTTTCGACTTATCAACAGAGTTCTGGAAATGCTACTTGAACATACTGCAATTTTTTGGGCTGCCCGGTGAACAGCCAGATGTTTCACTAATCATGGTGTTCCTCTTGGGGTCAGCACTGCTGTTCCTTGGCACCCTAATCTTCTTTATGTGGCTGTCCTATTTAGAGGAGGACAAAAGCAAATACGTACGCTATGCTGAGGACCAGGATTTCCCAAGCACCTCAGGGACCTGCACCTCTGTAGCCATCTTGTATGAGAGGCCAGAGGCCAGAGACTCATATGATTTAGAGGTTTCCCAGATGGCCCAGGGTGAAATCCATGAGACATCGGTCATCATTAATGGCTTCTTAGTCCCAGAACATGTTACTTCTAGACAGTCCTCCTTACGAGGAACTCAACTTCTCTTGTGAGGACTTAGCCCTTATTTAGGGGGAGACATGGTGGTTACTCACCCCTACTCAAATAACTGAACTGTGATACATTCTTGTGTCTTGTTTGCTTTTTTTTTTTTAATGGGGTGAAGTGACTTGCCTAGGGTCACACGCCTAGTAAGTG